ATCGTATAATTATTTTTTAAATTTTGTATTAAATGCAATTAGAAATAACAAAGCAAATTAAGTTCAGCGATGATTGTACAATTTTTAATACTTACATTATTTTTAAAATTTGTATGTCTTCTGAACTCAGATTTTCGTATATATCTGACGATCGAAAACGAATCAATAATATGAGAAATTAAAAGATAAATAACTTTCTAAACTGATGAATCCACTTGTCTGCGGACAGACTTAGCAATGTAACTTTTGAACAAACATATGTCGTTCCTGTTATCTCATTCACCAATACGACTCATAGTGATACCCTAATATTTCAACAAGTTAAAGCTAAGATATTAACAAACAGCGCATGTTTATATTGTATACACGATTTCGCTCGTGCATTAGTGTATGCCGTATATGTTTATGTGTGTGCAATTACACGCGCATGTGTGCGTGTACAAGGTGTAGACGCTAACAAAGAGTCACTCGTGTGTCGCATATACGACGAGTCAAGAAGTGTTATGGTTTAAATTTAACCAAAGGTATATTTTTCGATTGCAAGCACTTATCACACACCCATTCGGCATAAACTTCTGCCGTTAATAATTGATAGGCAGTTTCCGACAATCCTGTGCATCCCCTGCAACAAATTCATAGTGTATACGTTAAGTAATCTTTTTTTTCTTTCATACGACAACGTACGAGAAGACGGAATTTTCTAAATACCTGTGAAACCAAAAATTACAACCTGATTCACAAAGAATCGCTTGATCATTATCATGCACTTCTTTGTGACATACTCCACAAGGATAAATGGGTGGAGCATTAGGATTTTGTGGATTAAACACCATTGGCTGATCTGGAGGATATATCTGCAATATTAAAATGACATACATTTAGACCAGTATAGTAGAAAATTATGACGCGGGGATAATGATAAATTAATTGCACCTTTCCTGCAGAAACTGGCATTGGTTTTGGTCCCATTCCTGGCGGACCCTGAAAACCATGAGGTGGCATGGAACCTCCCATGTTGATGGGATGACCCATTGGTGGACCACCGCCTATATTACTAGACATTGTACCCATTGGACCACCCATATGACTCATTTGACTATGATGACTAATACTCATATTAGACATGTTATTCATTGGCGGTCCAGCCATGTTCATGTTATTTATTTGATTTGGACCACTCATGTTCATGTTGTTGGATACCATAGAACTCATGGTCGTCATAGGTCCATTCATGGGCCTTCCTAAGTTATTAAGATTATTTCCCATATGATTCGGATGTGGTTGAGATCCGTTATGTCCCAACGGACTGTTTACACTGTTTATAGACGGCCCGTTTAGTGGGCTATTGGGTGGTATATGGCTATTAATATTGTTCATATTCATTGGTCCATTAGGCATGTGATTTGACCCACCCATTGTATTCATAGGAGATCCTAATGGACCACCCATAGGGCTTCCCATGCTATGTCCCATGTTATTCATTGGACTACCCATTGGGCCGCTGTTCATGTTATTCATTGGACTACCCATAGGTGGACCACTAAGCTGAGAATTACCCATGTGACTCATATTCATATGATTGTTCATAGTATTCATCGGACCAGGTGGCATACTAGGTCCCATATTATTCATTGGACTCATACCACCGATTGGTGCATGATTCATAGGAGACATTGCTCCCATATGGTTCATGTGATTTGTCATAGGTGAATTTCCCATTGGACTCATACTTCCCATGTTGTGAGGCATCATAGGACTCATTCCACCTATAGAAGTTAAAGGGCTCATGCCTCTCATAGGTGGCCCACTCATATGATGTGGGTGATGAGGATGCATATGGGGTGGTCCACCATGCATCATTGGCGTTTGTGTAGTTTGTGGCGGTGTATCGTCGAAAGGGTTACTCGCTACTATCGTGTCCCCATAGCCAGTTAAAGGTGGAGGTAGTAAATCCTGAAAATATTTTTCGGATATTATACAGTACTGAACATGGAGATTATTGATTGTACACTGATTAGCTACGATGTAAAATGTTACCTGCACTATTGGAGGTTGTTGCGGAGGTGGTTGAGCAACATTTGCATTTGTACGTCTTTTCTTTTTTGGATTGGCACCGGTCGGTGGTGGTGGTGGAGGATGAGGGTGAGCAGAAGATTCAGGATGTGGGGCACTAGGACCCATATTCACACCCATACCCATACCCCCCAAAGGCATCCTTGCGAAGGGTGGCATGCCTGCAATATTGTGGCTCATCTCCCTCGTTAACTTGCCTTATTTTAACATGCCGTATCAGCACCACAGTAGATTCTGGTGATAAGTCTTTGCTATTGCTCCACTAGTATTTTTAATTAAAGAAATATCATATTTTATTATATAGTATCATAATTATATATATATATATATTTTGTTTTTTGTCAACAACATAATTTCATTTATTCATACTTTATGAATTCGCAAAAATACAAGATCCATGCAGCTGTTAATAAATTACAAGATAAATATTTATGTGTGACATTATTAATAATAACATAAATCTAGTTTTAGCACAATCATGCTTATTAAAAGAAACAAACCTTGCAATTTAAAACTACAATATACATGTACTTTGTTAATATCACTTTTGAACATATATTTATATCTTTACGTTTTGAAATATATACAATTGGACAAATACATATATAAGTGATAGTTGCTACATTTTGTATACCAGTATAAATACAAAATATTTCAATATGTTCTGCTTAAATAATCACTATTTAAGTAAAAATCATACGTGACATTGTACGACAACACGTTCAAAGCGATAAAAATAATGCAAAAAAATAGACAAAAAAAGAGAGCAAAATAAAATCCACCGATGCCAGTTTCTCAGACCAACCTAACCTACACATTTTTCTAAATCATTTACTACGTTCAACAGTATGTAAGAGATGTACGGTCGAAAATAAACTGCAGGCATAGTAAAAACAATTTGTATATTTACTAGCGCATTATAGCTGGCAAGATATCGATGTATACATGGCTTTCCTGTTTTTTCGGCAAGGACTAACACCATTGAATTATATCGTACACCTAGCTAGCTTTAACGGCTGGATCCGCACGATTCCTCGTTTCTAGTGTTTCTTCTTCACCAGTCACATATTTTTCGCTAGCACGAATGTATTTCACATTCACAAATATGCAGAAATGGTACAGTAAACACTGGCGAAGTGTCAGAAGTATATGGAGCAAAGAAGCGCACGCCAATGTTTCAGGTCGCCATTGTCGCGTTACGCGTGTCCCTGTGGTTGTGTCATCGACTAAGTACAGTATAGACACGACATTACGTGGAACTTTGTGTCTCGTGTTCTGAAATACCGACCTCGAAAAAAGTCGGAGGAGTGTTTCCTACGTCCTTTGCGGTTTGTTACGGCGAACGTCAGTAATTTTGTTACAGAACACAGTCAATTAGAACGTTAAACAGAAAGATTTTATTGAATGTAACAGGAATTATTTCGAGAAGTTATACGTGTTTAGGAAGAAGCATCACTTTATTGCTACTAAATTAAGTAGGTTGAATTCATTAAATCAATGAATTTTAAATCGAAGGTTTAGAAGCTATGTTTATTTAAACCAACGTTTAAAAATTAACACTCAGAGTATTATTTAGAAATTGACATTCAGAGTATTATTTTTGCAAATCAGTTATATTAAAAAATATTTATAGATATTGTGCTAATTTACGTAGAAAGTAATTATATTATAGTCAAAAATTACGTTGGTCGTCTCTCAAGAGCAATCATGCAAATGAAAATATTCAATAAATAATTTTTACGTTCGATTCAATAAATAATTTTCGGTGCAGCTGTAACAATAATTAACAATCAGAAAATATTTCTATTTTCTGATTTTAATTCCTGTTATCAATAGCGCTGCGGTAACCACGAGATGTATGAATCGACCAAGCAAGTTACGGGATTTAGTGGCTCGTGACCTGAAATACCGACATAGTAAATAATCACTGGTTTTTTAGCGCACTCTACGTTAAATAACGGTGAGTTGAGGAACTACTGAATGCGTCAGCAACATGATTTTTAGACCCATTACATTGTTGTCAAACTTTCAATACTGAAATATAAAGCTCGTCTGTGACTGTACCAAGTAAAATGATACAAGCAAAATGTTTAATTGTATCTTCAGATACCAAACACGAGATTAGTATCTAAAATTATTCCATTATGTATTTATGCGTGTGTCAGCAAGAGCCCTATTCTTGTTTTACGAATTTATCGACTGGTTTTTCGTTGAAAACGATAAAATTATTACTATAATGGGATGTTTAATTTATTGAAATCTATTTAGGGAAATATATTTAGAACGGACTTGATATTTAATCAAAAAGGAGACAAGATCTAGAGCAGAAAAGATCTATCATTTTATCAAATCATATGTTTTGAAATATCTATCAAAATCTAAAGTCTAAGGTCTTCGACAATATTTACAAATGCATAGAATGTGCATACATTGAATTTACAGAGATTACTAAACTAAAACTAAACGCACGCAACTTAAAGTTAAGACTCTCGCATCCCACGATGTCCTCGGTGCTCCGCTGGGCCGACGTGCACACGACGGAAGTTCATTTGAAAGTAATGAGTGTCCGTACTACTCAAGGTTATATAGTATTTCGGTCGTGGGTGATCAAATACAGTTGACAACTTTTTTTTCACACTTGTAAAATTTTATCTTTGTGTATACGTCGAAAGTTTAATGATAATGATCTCTAAGCCGCTCGAGGTTAATCTAACGTTGATAACTTTTTTTTCAAACATCTTTTTCAAAACACGGCGAAAATTTAATTGATAATGAATCTCCGTATCTCTCAAGGTTAATCGAATGTTTCGATCGTCAGTGATCCGGAACAGTTGATAATTTTTTTTTGGTATTTCGTAAAACAGTTTTTCTATTATACTAATCAATAATTTAATAGCTTTTACATTTCTATCGCAAAGTTATACTTTCATGAATATGTTACAACGTTGAATGTAATAATTTATTAATTTTTTATCGACTGAAACTAAATTTACATTTTCGTGATATTAATTTTAAATTATAACTGCATTGATGTATATTAAATAGTAATTTATGTGGAGAAAAGTTATGTAGTGAAAAATTAAATTAAGCGGTGATTGTCGCTTTAGAATAATCGTGCAACGTATAAAAATTTTGACTCGTTTATTCTTTCAAAGAGCAAGAAATATGTATATT